GCGGATCACTGACTGGTCAGACTCTTGGGCTCTTCTTAGCTGCCTCTGTGCTTTGCCAGAGTACATCTGGTCCCCAGCACCCGAGCTCTTGGGAGTCGTGCTCTTTCAGAACTGACTTCAGAATAAACTGGAGGGAAGAACACTTACACGTTTCCTCCCTGGTCGATCCTGATATATCTTAAAGGATTGGTGTGAATAATACTAGAATTTTTAATCTTGCAGTCTCCCTTGACGATAACTATGTTCCTAATATTTATTCCTGGTTCTTATGCAAATGAGTTTTAGTTTGTGAGCCCTGAATGCCCACTAGCTGCTTGCTGTGAGGTTAATCCTGTTTTTACACAAAAATTCATGGAGACACAGGATTTCCCTAGTAGTCTGACTTCTTTTTTGATAATCCCCAAACTCTCTCCCTTACTGAAAGAAAAGGTAATTTTCTTATTATTATTTACTACAATTATTCCTTATATTTCTGCTGCTGGGACTCTCCTGATGTGACTTCGTGGCTGAACCATCAGGATGAACCATTTGGGCTGTTCTGCCTCCAGGGCTTGGTGGCCTGGAAATGTGCTCATTTGTCTCTATCTTGTTCAAGCTTGGAGTCCAGAAATCCGCGTCAGAAAGGATATTCCCATGATGCTCTGTTCACGAGGGTATAGAGTGTGGATGCTTTTTACCTGGGTCTAAGTACTGTATTTCTAATATCTCCAAAGAGATGCTTTGGGGAGGGGGTGAGGATGGCACGTGCTGAACTTTGTATAAAGGAAACGGCAACATTTAAAGATAGTTTAATTTTTCAACACAAGTGGCAGAGCATCTGCTCATGTCATCTCTCCAGTAAGTCCAGTCTTCTTGGATGCTGGTCCTTATTTATTTGGATCGTCAACAAATGTCTCCTATAATATATTGAGTTCACCAATTAAAGAGATACTGTGGCCAGCGTGGCAATGGATAACGTATTTGCTTTTCACGGTCGCTGCATTACTCCCCTTTCCTCTTCACTTTTGCTGTCCTATTTCCCCGCCCCCCATAAATTCTCAGCACATTAATGATATGGCACTCCCTTCCCACCAACTCTGACCCACTGAGTGCCCTTTTCACATGAAGAGCCCCTGCCGTTCTAATCATCTTTAAATTCAGTCCTTGTTCTCTAGAATGTTATCATGGCTTAGTTACATGCTTTGCTAAGCCCCAATAATGTTTATTCCCTTTGTCTCCATACTCCTTTAAGCTTCTTGCACCTTTACTTGTGTGTAATGCTGTTGTGTGTACAATCCTGGATTCGAGTACCAGCTCCAGCACCTGCAAGACCAAGTTTCATAACATTGTGAGATGCAGCCTCCTTGTCTCTAAAATGGGAGAATAACATCTGCCTGGAGCATTGATGACATTACAAATGACACATAGTAAGGATGAATATTGGTCCCCTTCCACAATCCTTCTGTCTGGAATCCCCTTCCCTTCTATTTTTCACCTTAGCAAAGTCACTTCAAGGTCAAGAGTAATGTCACCTGTTCCATAAGCATCCCCCGGATCTACTCAGCCGCGAGCTCTCCCCTCTGTGCTCACCTCCTGCTCTTGGTTGTAGCACTTTTATGCCCCTTATGATACGGTACTTTGTGCCTGGTTGTGCTCTTCCACTAGAACATAAGCTTCCTGAGGGTAAACACCATTTAACTTGCATTAAATTAGCATCTCCAAAGTGCTTCCTACCTCGTTGGTGCTAAATAAATATTTGTTGAAAGTCTGAATGGATCCTCTCTCTTCCACTTAGACTGTTCCCCGGCATAATTTTAAATAACATATTCACCTCCACCTTCATTACTCTATTGTTCTGCTGTTTGGCATCATCTCTGTTCTAGAGTCTAAATCCTACATCATCTCCTTCAAAAATACAGCAATCCCCAACATACACAGCTCATTCTTTAATTATTAAGGCAATAACTTTTCTACCTTTCGAAATGTTTATAGTCTGTGGTTTCTGAGATGTATGTGGTCTAGTATTATTCTCCAGTTTCTATGGCCTAAATCTTAAGAAGGCCTGCTCCTCTAGGGTAGAAAGTGTGCCTTCTAATTCCTTTTGTATCTTGCATAGTAATGGAGTTGGTTTATACTTAAACTATTCCTGGGTTTTGGATGCCTGAGAGTCTTCTTCAAATCCACTCCTGATTCAGAGAAGAGGGAACACCTGAGGGCAGGTACCTCTGCTTTAACTCATGCCTACACTGCCTTGCACAGAATCTTATGTATGCACGGTTCTAGATGAAACCAATATACGTAAGAGCCTCATGATTTTCAGATGATACAATCTGTAGAGAAAAATATTTTACTACTCTTGCTTTAAATTTATTCCCTGCATATCTTTGGGGCGTTACGACAGCAAGGAGTTACTGTCATTAAAATACATATTCATATTATATATTAAATATATTATATATAACCTTTATTGAATATTAAATAGATAATTCTCCTAAGTCGTGGGAAGTCAGTTTGGGAGAAGATTCTTATTTTAGGGACATTTAATATCTCATGTTTCGAATGTATAGATGGTTTGGAAACAAAACTACTCCAACGAAAGTCACCTTTCTGGTGTTGCTTGATCTCAAAATGATCTCAAGTCGATCTCAAACTTCACCCTAAAACGTAATGCTAAAAACAGAGAAGTGAAGAAGAGCATGTACTTTGCCCTGAGCACGCATCATGAAAGAAATGTTACCTATCTTGACAGTCTTCCAAGGAAAATAATGATCCCTAATCTTTGTTAAGCCCCACCATTTAAAATTCAGGTCAGAGATCAACTAATAAGAAAAGTGTTGTTTATACCTTTTCCGTGAAAGGAAAATCATGCCTATATTATGAAAAAAGATGAGAAACAAAATCTCTATATAAATATTATCGGTTGATCATCTCATTCTGAAATAATTATTGCTGTAGCCTAAAACTTAGAGAATAAAAATAACTACTTTAGTGCCATTGATTTATGTTAACTCATAGCAAACATTCATAAAACAGATGTACTAATCTGTAAAAACTAGACAAATGACTTTTGTTCTTTTGCTCTCTCCGACACTTCTGATGGTTTCAGTGGATTCATACAAGAAGATATTGAAGTTGTTTCACATTATGGGTTTCACCTGTTTTGATAATAATTGAAAGAGATTTGCTGGGTCCTTGCATTCTAGTTCTCTACTGACCTGGGTCTTTCATGAGAGTACAACAAAATAAAAGTCAAATGTAGTTTCCCAGCTCTCTGGATTACTTGTAAGTAATTTATTCGAGTCATTATTTGTAAGTCATTAATATCTGAGAATGACTTGCTCCTTGGGAAAAGAAGACTCTGGAGAAACAGTTCAAAATTATCCCCTTATGTTTTGCTCACGGGACTATTTCAAAATATAATGGCACAAACTTTGATAATGTTTCTGAGTTAGCTGCGTATTTCAAATGCTAGCAAAATATTTGAAAGCCACATGAAGGCATTATAGCCAGTGATACTAAAGATATGTGTACAATGTGATGAATCTTAAAAAGTCAAGAGTACAAAATAAGCCTATGGTATGTTACGGCATTCTGAAATTTTCAAGGGAGGATCCAAGCATATCACAACATTTAGTATTTGGTTAAATACAGGAATTCTTCAAATTAAGAAAATTCTATTTATATAAACTAAAAAACAAACAAACAAAAAAAACCCCTCAATGCCAAAATTCTTAGCATTACTTTTGAATTTAGAGAAGTCATATGTACCTAAAATGTGATTAGGAAACAAAAATATGTTTATTATTCTGCTTTAGAATTTTAGGCAACAAAATTGTAATAAGAGGTGTGACACAAAGTTAAAACTTATTTTGAGAAATCTGACAGATAATGGACCTCATTTTCAACAACTCTATTGTTAGAGCAATACAATTCCTATGACAGAGTGTCCAGAATTCTTTTCAAATACATCTTGGAATATAAAGCGTAGTTTTATTGTTTTTGAGAATTTTGTTACTATCTGTGGAAAAGTATAAATGTAAATTGAAGCAAGCATCAAAAGCATCACTGATCTGTCACAGCCTACTGGGGCTGGGGCGCATTTTAGAGATCATAATTTAGGTTAGAGCCCGCAGGCCCAGATGACAGGCACTTTTCCCAAAGTCCCAGATTTGAAGCAGGGGCTGGCTAAAAGGAGGACTCCAAATTCCTTAGAGTATTTCCCTCATGCACTGTTGTCTCACCAACTTCGTATTGCTGAAATCTTCACAGCGTAGGCCTTTAAAAACATGAACACATTGCCTTAATGACGTGCTAAGTATTCAAATTCCAACATTAAAACATTTTTTTCACAAATGAAGCATCTACAATGCTCAGGTAATAATGCAAATCACTGCAGTGGTAATTGTGGGTACCCTCCCCATTTTTATGAATAAGTTAAGCCTCTCAGGACAGGGAGTAATCATTTCTAAAGAGTCAACTGAAGTAATTTTGAAGTCTGAATTTGGTTCTTCTGTAAATCCCGGACCCCCTGTAGTTTGGTACTGGACAGAGGTCTCCGGGTATAACGATCAGGGCTGAGGGAAAGAAGAGGCCAGGCTCAAGCCCAGACCTGGGGTGATACCTGAGGTACGGGGTTTCATGCACCTCACCCAAGCCGAGCTCTCCGGACGACTGTTTTGTAACTTAATTTACAATTCCCAGAAGCTGTCATATTCACCCTTAGGAACTTTGCCCATTTCTGTCCGTATGCTATGTATACTTACAGAAAGTGTTCTCAAGTACTGAATCTCCTCATAAGTTAACAGCTACAGAATTACTCCTCACAAGTTGGAAAAATTGGTCACTTGGCTAAATGGATTTCAGTGAGTTTCACACAGCAGTAACACCACTATAAAGCCCCCATTTCTCAAAAATACGGGTGGAGGGGGGCGAGTGTGGAAGGAATGTTAACCTAGGGCTATCTTCCGAATGTAGGTTGCTGGCCCCTACATGACATAAAGAAAGCACAACTAAAGCGATGGTAAAGTCAGTAAACGATATTTTACTGAAACATAACACAGAAACTCTGTCTGAAGTGTAAAGTTACTGTCTTACGCAAGAAGGACAGACCCATTTTCAAAGACTAATATGAATACAATAAATATGGAGCTCACGTACTAATTTATACACAGAAACTCTGTCCCACAGCCATAAAAATTTATATTTAACAGTGCAACATATAATTTAATCATTGGATTTATTTGACAGGTTTTTTTGCTAAACACAAATAACTACCTGGTTTTCATATACATATATAATATATATTTTATGTATATAGATATTCAACAATCTGTACAGTCTCTAAACATAAAACTCCTAAAAGGCACAATTGTCTATACAACATGTACAAAAATGGCTGGAGCTGACACAAAACAACGATTATTGGTCAAAAGTTCATGATTGCACAAAGATTAGTCATGAGTTTATGTCAGAAAAATGTGCTTTAAGGAAAGGAGGGTTTTCAAAGAAACCTGTAAGTGTTCTCTAAAAAAAAAAAAAAAATTCCAGAAAACCAAAACCCAAACAAAACCCCAAACCCGCAAATAAAACGCCCCTAGGTTGCGATCACGAGCCTGTCCTCGTCCTCGTCGCTGCTCACATCGCTGAACTGCGCGGCCTGCCTCCGGGCCGGGGGCGGGGCCGGGGCCGGGGGCGGGGCCGCGGGTCCCTCCCGGTCCAGGGGGCGAGGCTGCCGGCCAGACGGCGGGGGCCCGGATGCTGGTTTGCCCGGAGCCGCAGGGAGTTCGTGCCGGGGCTTCGGGTGATTCCCGGAGGCGGCCGTCCCCGCGTCCAGGCGACTGGAGCCGTCCCGCCTGGCGTGGTCTCTGGCCGGGGCAGGTGGGTCTAGACCCTTCGGTGCGTTTTCCCGAGGAACTCGGGGCGAGCCCTGCGGCGACGCGCTCCCACCGCCCGGGTGCGCGCCGGCGGCCGAGGGCTGCTTGGGCGGCGCCTCCCGGGCTCTGTTTGGGGGAGCGGGCCTCTCGGGGGCTCCCTGGGCGTCCACGGTGACCTGGCCGACGGAGGGGATCAGCGTGGGCAAGGCGATGTTCAGGATCTGGAGGCCCGGGATGGGGGGCGGGGGGGCGGGGCCGCTCTGGGAGGAAGGGCTGGCGGTCACCACCTGCAGCCCCACGGCGGCGTTCAGAGCGAGCCCGGGCGGGCGCACCTGCGGGCCGAGGTTCGCGCTGGCCAGGCCTAAAATGTTGACGGTCTCCATGCTCAGTGCCGGCAGGGGCTGCAGGGCCGGCGGACTCGGGTTCTGCAGGCCCGGCACGCGGATTTGGCCGATGGGAATACAGGGCACCACGCTGCTCAATTCAGCCACTCCGGAGGGGCTGGTAGCGCTGGACACTTCGGCGGTCAAGTCCCCGGGGGTGCCCACAGTTCTGTGAATGACGTTGACAGCGGGGATCGTGAGTTGCACTGGCCCAGCTTGGATGGGTACGAACGTGGAGTATGTGAGGCCGGCAGGGACCGCCTGGATCCCCCCGACCGGAAGCATATTATATGGTGTCCTTGACTGCAGCTGGGAATGCAGAGGAAGGTGGCTGAACAGATGCGTCTGGGGAGAAGGCAGGCCTGGAGGCGGATGGAGAGCGACTTGCTGCTTCGGCTCCTGAGCGCCGGGCCGAGGCGAGGTCGTGCAAGGAGGTGCCCCTGCCGGCTGAGGGCTGCGCTCAGTGCCCCGCGGAGGAAGGCTCACGGATGACGGGCCCTAAAAGACAAGACGGAACGGTCCTTGATGGCAGAGCTTCCTTATTAGTCACTGAGCTAAAATCTTTAGCTCCTGTAAAGTCTATTCCTCCTGAGGTAAAAGTATGTACACTTGTATTTTATAAAAATGATAAGCTTGCTAAAAGTTGTATTTTGATTTAAACAATAAATTTCCAACTTAAAACCTATTACACTCGTCATCTCTTTCCAAAGGTCAGCAACAAGTTTTGTAGAGTACTTTACATTTTTCAAACAAATTTCCTGGATATCATCTCAGTTATACTGAAATTAACCCTGAGAGGGGCCATAATTCTTCTTCCATTGTTGTTGTTTCTATTATTGCTGCCACCAGCGGCTCCACCCTATTTTAGAGATTAGGAGTTACTGAGAAATTCTGAGATATTAGTTGGCTATGAGTATCGACTCGGGGGAAAATTAACTGGAGGACTCTCCATTTATGAAATAAAGAGCTGCCATTAACGGAAAGGTCTGCAGTTTTCATTTGTTCATTTATTCTAAGTGTATGAAATGTCTACTGGAAACCAGATTTCCAGCCATTGGCAGGTGTGTGAGCGATTTGGGGATAGAGAAGGTTAGAGCACAGGTGACTAATGTGAGAGTAATGAAATGTTAGTAGAAGGGATAAATCTCACCAATCCTCCCTTCCACCCAAGATTATCATATAAATATTAGCTTTTTCCTGATATATCCGTATTATGGAACTACATTAATGTACATACTAATTTAATTAATGTTACTTAAATAGGAACGTAATTTAATTAAATTATATTAATGTAGGATAGGCTACAGAAATCCAATCTTTTCACAGTCTTTTTAGTTTTCTCCAGTGATACCCAGCAATCCAAAATCTGCCGCATTTAGAAATAAATCCTATTACAATTATCAGTCCATACCAGAGGTAAGAGAACTGTCAATGAGAGAGAAGAACGGATTCCTCACAAGCCCACCAGGGTTTGTGAAAGCAGGAAATCATTCACAGCACACATGGAGGGTGACTTTCCCGAGGCCTGAGTCTGGCCCTGAGCTAGTTCTTGGGCAGGAAGCTTTCCTAAGCTGTCACAGCAATTTGATCATTCAAGCAAAGTGAACTTCTTAATACGTTTTTTGGGTCACATTAACTTTGTCATGGAAACTGGTAGCTGCCTGCTAACAGGGGCAAAATGCAAAATGTTCAGATAATTTAGTGCAAATCCACCACATCGATGCCAGTGGAAGATCATCTCAGAGGAAGCCGTGGAATACGTAGGTCCCAAGACTCACATTCTCTGTTGGCACACACATACTTTTTATTCCAAGATTTTTTTAAAAAAATCCAAATAATAACAAATGAGTATACTGTAAATATACTGGTTCTTTTACAGACTTATAATACAATATACAAACTCTGACTAAAATACCTAACAAGAATCCAAAGGACATAAATGTCCTTTGGCCTTAAATCAAACAAAAAAATAAGGTTAAAGAAACTGCCTTAGCTGTAAATGAGTAATTTAAGTGCACTGATTTCTTAAGTCAGTAGGTTCCCCATATTCAGTAGGTTAAACGAAAAGAAAACCACCAAGTTATTACCTGTGTTAAAGCAACAGCCTTTCCTGCCACAGAACTTCCCAGGACCTCTTCGGATTCGGGGTAGTCCACAGACATCTGGTGACACGGGGACCTGGGCGCAGCCTCGGGTGACCTGGCAGAGTCTCCAGGAGCGGCTGCCTCACCCTCGTCCCCCGCAGCCCGCTGCCTGGTCCTAACCGGAGACCCCGGCTTCCCGCCGTAGTCCGACTGCACTGTGCTAAGCACCGTCATCTTGGTGGGCAACGCTCTCGGGAGAACATCCATCGGGTCCGTGTGTCCCCCAGAAAAGCAATCAGGAATCCTGACGTCCTCGTCAGCACCCCGACAGTCCTGGAGGCCGCTTCTAGCCGGAAGGCGCTGCGGGCTGGCCGTGGCCGAGGGGGCTGCCGACAGGACCGACTCGGCCTGGCTGTCTTCATCCTCGTCTTCGTTCTCGTTCTCGTCCTCATCTGGGCCATCGGATTCTTCAAGATCATATCCAGACCGCTCGTAACTGAATCTTTGTTTTTCATCTGATAAAAACAACCGGGAGGGTATGTTACAGAATGTTTTGCAAGTGGTCGAATGCAACCTTTTCTTTTTTATAAGCTTGGCAATACTGTGAGGAATGTTCAAGGCAAGGGCTCTACCCATAAAAAGGCTACGGTTTAGTCAAGGAGAATGACATGCGGAGGTCAGTCTGTGCAGCAGGAATCAGAGGAGTGAGGCGCCGACAGAGTGGGGCGTGGCCAGGGAGGCTTGTTAGGGATGCAGAACGTGAAATGAACCTCGCGGGAGCAGACAGGCAGAGGGTGATACACAACGAAAACCAGAAATAAAGGCCTCAAATATTATACTCGTAAAACCTGCAAAAGAAAACTGAACTATATAAAGAAAATTAGCAAAGAGTTCACTGCAACTCTTTTTCTGAGCTCTTTTTCTCTATATACTTGTTTGTATCTCCCTTTTATTGAACAAATGAAAACAAAACCAAAAAAATGATGGTATTTCATATTTGCAAACAGAATCATTTTCCTTTATATTTGAATAGTAGTTTAGGCATATTTCCACTGTCCTCTGAGTAGTAATATTCTGTAATATTTAATCCTTGTACATTTTTTTTTTTTTAACTGAGAAAGGTACTAAATTTTCCCATCATTTTTTTCTATAATGACTCAACCCACTTCTCACAGGAAGGGGAACATTAATTAAAAGTCATTAATATCAGCCTTATAATGTCATGTGAGACTATGTTTAACAAGGAATATTCAAGATAATCTAGGGAATAGTTTCAGATATCTCATAAGCTCATGTGAAATTGGATTTAAAACCTTATCTATTCAAAATCTTGCAAAATTAGAGGTACTTTCCCTTAGAAAGCTAATAAAGTTTAAAAAGTTAAATGGATGAGGAGTGCAAAATCTCTACCCCAATTCATTGTCACTGAGCTATAATAAAGAAGGCATCAGACCAAGTTCAACTTAGCTGTGATACAGTCTGCATTTATATGTTCTTTTTGAAGAGAAAAAAACGTGAACAGAAATAATTAATAGGTATATTTCCTGGGTTTTCCAAATGGTTTGCACATTAATTTACTACTCTTTCTATATTACAAAGATAAGTTCTTAGAGAAAAGTCTTGAAGCATCAACACCAACACATTTGAGGATGTTTATTTCTAGGAGATAGAACAGACTAGAACTTTTATGTTTTTTTTTAATCTCAAGCATATATTACTTTTATAATTAAAACATTCAAACAGAAAACATATACGTTTAGATTCCTTTAATATGTGATTTCATGTCTTTTGATTTATGGGTTCTACTATTTTGCTGTAAAATCATACATAAAATAACACCAATCTGTTGAATCCCACCAGATGCCCATGCTGGACGTGGAATGGGTGACTTCCGGGTAGATGCCCTGCCTCCTGCCTCACAGATCCCTCTCTGATACCTTGTCTGATGTCTGAAATGCTAAAATTAGAGAGTCATCCCCCATATATTTTGAATTTGCCACATGAATGCCGAATCAGATGTATTTTTAGAGATTTTAATATGAGAAAAAATTTTTCTTTCAAAGGAGAAAGTAAAAAAACTCAAAACAAAACAGAAGAAACCGGATGACTGACGAGAGGGAACAGGTTACTGGAGAGGGAGGCTGATTTCATCAGAGGCCAACCCTGCCGCAAAGCCTGACTAGGGTGAGACTTGCTTTATCGTAAAAGCTATTACTTCTTTTCTTTTTTTTTTTTTTTTTAAATAACAGGCCTAACTTTAAATTTATGACTTTCCTTAAACCCATTATAAGGTTGAAGTCCCAGGCAATCCAACAGCCCAAACTCTAGAGACAGTGTCTGTAGGAAGAGAGGAGACACATGCTTGTGTCATCTGGGGCAGATGCAGCAGGACACGGGTCGGGGGAGGTCAGCTAAATGGTTGACAGACTGGTTAGAGCCAAGCGTGGGCTGGGAGGGCTGTGTGACTCCTCTGGGGCTACATTCTCTTGCAGGCTCTATGTCATGAACACCATTCAAGCACTCACAGAAAAGAGCACTAAGTATCCATTGTGGTCCAGATCCGGGGGAGAGCAGCAGCATTTAGGAGGGGCAAGGAACTCCCCCTAGGTCCCTCTCCCCTCTCTCCACTAGGGAACAAACACTTTGTCCTGTGAAGAGGAGGGCAACAAGCATTGCTGCCCTTGGGAACTTTGGTGAAAACTTACTGCAGTAGGGAAAGGGAATGAATAAGAGAAAAAACACAACTCTACTCCTTAAGGAGGGACAAGGTTGCCAGCTGAGTCCACCACAACAGCTGAGCTAGGGAAGGAGAACAAGAGGGCCACAGTCCAGAAACCTGAGAACATGGTGCACGTAGAAGGCTGAGGCTGCATCAGAACAGAGGTGGCATCCCATCCTCCTCTTCACCCCCTAATGCCAAGTTAAGGAGCTTGAAATGAGAGGTAACAGCAAAATACTGCTGGAAGAGGACCAGGAGAAGAATAGAATGTGTAGAGCACCCTCTCTGAGGCATAGCACAAAGGAAACACCTAAAACTGGAAAGGAACAAGCACTTCTCTTATAACCCAACCCCCACCGCAAACAAGAAGTGGCTCTATAGGAATCTGAAGGCTTTGTTGCTCTGATGGTAGCCTTAACAACAACAAATCTCTCCAACCCAGTCCAACTCTTGACTAGAAACGTTCTAACTCCCACACAAAGGGCCTTGCTAGGCATAAAAACCATTTACATTAGTCTCTACTGTCTTATGCAAGATGTCTAGCTTTCAACAAAAATTACAAGGCATACAAAAAGGCAAGAAAAAACATACGCAGAAGAGGAAAAGCAATCGGAACCAGTCAGATATGATATAGATGTTAGAACTTGCAGAGAATTTAAAATAATCGACCAATATGTTAAAGGCTCTAACGAGAAAGGTGAACAATATATACTACCAAGCGGGAATTTCATCTGTGAGATGAAACTATGAAAAAAAAAAAAAAAAAAGAAATGCTAGCAATGAAAAACACAGTAACAATGATAAGAAAAGAAAAGGAAAAAACAAAAACAAAAAACCCCAGAATTCTATGTTCTATGCTCATTGAAAATAATTTTCAAAGATGAAAGAGAAGTACAGACTTTCTTAGAAAACAAAAACTGAGGAGATCCACTGCCAGCAGACCTACTTGACAATAAATGTTAAAGGAAGCTCTTTAGGCACAGGGAATATGGTATCAGATGGGAACTCATATGTACCCCCCAAAAAGAAAAGCAATGGAAATACAATAAATGAAGATAAAATTTAAAAAAATTTTTAATTGCTTGTTCTAAAAGATAATTTGATGTCTACAGTAGTAAAAATGTGCTATATGTTTAGAGCATGTGTAAATGTAAGTGGTATAACAATAATAGCACAAAGGATGAAAAGGAGGAATTGTGAATACACTGCTATATAAAGTCTTTACACTACATGTAAAGTAATGGAATATTATTTGAAGGCAGATGACTAAATTTTCTTAAAAGACACAAATAAGTCAACAGAGGAGAAAAACAGAACCATAAAAATGCTTAATTAAGGCATAAAAAGAAGGAAAAAATGAAGCAAATAGGAAACAGCTGGCACGATGATAGATTTTATTCCAACTACATGAAAAATAAAAATAAAAGGAAGGCTCTAACACATGAATTTAAAGAGAGAGACTGCTAGACTGGGTAAAAAAGCAAGTCCCAAGTATATATTATGGATGAGAAATCCATTTTAAATATAAAGACATAATAGATAGAAAGTAAAGTTTGTAGAAAGATATACCTTTAAAAATTAACTAAAATACAGCTGAAAAAACTATATGCTAATATCAGACAAAGCAGACATCAAAACAAGGAATATTATCAAGGATGAACAGGAACATTAAATAATGATAAAAGGGTTACCTTTCCACGAACATATAACAATCCTAAATGTGTAGCAATGAAACCAGAGCTTCAAACTAAATGAGGCCAAAACAAAAAAGCAATAAACAAATCCACAACTGCAGCTGAAGACTTCAACACTCTACTCAGTAATTGATGGAACAAGTATACAGAAAATCAGTAGGAACACGGAAGACTTGAAAAATACTGTCAACCATCTAGACCTAGTTAACAGTTATGTTCCACCCAAAGAGCAGAATATGCTTTCCTTCTAAGTGTACGTGGAACATTCACCAATGTGTATATTCTGAGCTACAAAGCCAACCTCGACACATTTGAATGAATAGAAATCATACTTACGTTTTTGCTTGAAAACAGAATAACCTAGAAATCAGTTACTGGAAGATATCTGAACAATCCCCCAATATTTCAGAATTAAATAACACATTTCTAAACAATCCATGAGTCAGAAATGAAAGTCTCAAAGAAAAGTTAGAAATATTTTGAACTGGATAAAACCCAAAATATAACATTCAAAATTCGTGGGATGCAGCTAAAGCAGTGGTTAGTGGGAAATTTATTGCATCCAACACTTCTATTAGGAAAGAAGAAAGGTCTCAGATAAATAATCTAAGTTCTCAGCTTTAGAAATTAGAAAAAGACAATCAAACTAAACCGAAAGCAAGGAGCAGGAAGGAAATAACAGAGGCATCTTTCAAGTGGCCAGTGGCTACGAAGCTATAGCACATCAATACGACGGAATACTGCTCAGCGATAGAGAGGAATGAACTACTGACACCCACAAAAACATGGACAAATTCACATGTATTCTGATAAGTGAGAGAAGCCAGACCCCCAAAGCTCCTTATTCTGATTCCTTTCGTATGACACTCTGGAAAACGTAGGAATACAGGGAGGAAAAGAGATCAGTGGCTGCTAGGGGCTGTTGGATGCAGGGGGGAGGTGTCCATACAGAAGTGGCGCAGAGGAATTTTGGGGCGATGGAACTGTTCTCTGTGGAACTGTGGGGCTGGACACACGATTGTACACATTTGTCGAAAACCACAGAACTGTGCACCCTAAGGTGAATTGTAGGGTGTGTAAATACAAACACAACTAACCAGGA